CGAAGTGCAGGTTCTTCTCGGATCCCTCCAGCATGTGGGCCACCCGCAGGTCCAGGTACCGCACGCCCGTGTCCAGCTGCTCCGTGACGTTCAGCCCCTGAGGACACAGGCCGTGGTCGTCCCACCTCAGGGGTGCAGGCCACTCTCTGCTGGCCGGGCCTAGGTCTGGGGTCTCAGGAGTGGGCGAGAGCCTGCCCAGTGCAGCTGCCTCGGCCCCAAGGACAGGCTCCCCCAGGGCTGGTAGGCACCTGGAACCCGCGTCCGGGACCTCACGTCCGTGCAGGAGGGTGCAAGACAGTTCGAGGCCGGGTCGGGGCGGGGGGGGGGGCATCCCTGTAAAGGCGCCTTGGCCCCTAATACTGCTTTAGGGACAGAGGGGATGGAAGTGACCTGTTGTCATAATCATAGAGAAAGAAAAGTCTTATTATGGAACCGAGCAAAAAATGGTTCTCTGAAGGAGCAAAGCGTTAATAAAACAAAGAAAAAGAAAATGCTGCTCCCCTCCCACCTTAAATAATAGAAAAGGGGGAACCAGCAGTTAGCGTAATGGCTATGTCGCTGGACTCCCACGTAGTCGACTGAGGTTCGCGTCCTGGACCCGGTGGCTTAAAACTCACCCCGGGCACGTGTGCGTGCGTGCCCAAGATCCAGAGAGGAGAATGGAGGAGAAGGGATTGCGACTTGGCCATCCTCCCTGGGGGGTGATTTCTCGCTTTCTGTCTCTCTGTCTCTCTCTGTCTGGCGAGCGCACGCGCCCAACAGTGAAAAAAAACTCTCCAAAAAAAGTAATAATAATAATAGAAAAGGCACAGATACTAACGCTGAAAGTGAAAGAAGGTGGCCAGCAGATGGCGTAGTGGTTACGTCACTGGACTCCCACATGGCCCACCACGGTTTGAGTCCCAGACCCGCTGACTTTAATCTCACGCCAGGCGCATGTGTGTGCCCAAGGTCCAGAGAGGAGAATGGAGGAGGAGGAGGGACCATGGCGTGGCCATCTCCCGTGGCGGGTGATTTCTCATTTCCCCTCTGTCTCTCCCCAGCGAGCACATATGCCCTATGGCAAGAACCTCCTTTGGGGCCGGCAGGTGGCGTGGTAGTTAAGGGCAGTGGAATCCCACATGGCTGACTGTGGTTCGAGACCCGGACCTGGCTTGCTTTCTCACTTTCCTTCTCTCTCTCTCTCTCGCTCTGTCCTTCTCTGGTGAAATTAAAATAAATGAATGAATAAAGTTAAACGAAATAATTTTTGTTTGTTTGGTTTTGGAGAGGTTTTTGCTATAGGGCGTGTACTCTCACCAGAGAGACAGAGAGAGACAGAGAGACAGAAAGCGAGAAATGACCCCCCAGTGGGGATGGCCACACCGCAAGCTCTCAGACCCCGTGCTGTCCGGGCTCACCTGGGTGACGGACCATTTCAGCACCACAGGGCGCGTCACGCAGGGCAGGACCTTGGCCAGCAGCTGCAGCAGCCGGGGCTGGTCCTGGGCGATGGGGGACTTCCTGTTCAGGCAGTAGGTCATGGTGTCGTGGCTCCCTGGAAGGAAACAGCAAGGTCACCTTCCACCTGCTCGCCTGCCTCCTCACGCTGCACGCCGGGGGCATGGACGCACACGCAGAACACACATGTGCAGCGCTGAGCAGAGCCCCCAGACCCGCGCTCCCTGCCTGGGTACGGGCCCTCATCCACTTTCAGTGTCAGGCCCAGCTTCTCTGGCACGTGGTCAGCCTCGCCGTGGGCCATCCTGCATCTGTAAGAACGCTCTCCCCGCTGAGACAGCAGCCCTGGCGTGGCCCCGTGGCAGGTTCTCTGTGGGCCAGGCCTCGTGTGGAGCAGGTCCGTCGTGGGCCAGGCCTCATGAACAGGAAGCAGCCCGACCCCGGCCACAGTGTGGGTGCACCTGAACACACGAACCGCAGTGACAGATGCCAACACGCGAGCCCACGGGCTCAGCCAGGGCATGCCACGCTGTCCACACATAAAGCCCTGCCGTGACTGGGGCTTGGGAGGGAGGGACGACAGTGATCTGCATTGCTGCTGTTGGGCTCTTTTAGGTTTTTGCCATGGGGCACATGTACTTGCCAGAGAGCAGAGAGGCAGGGACAGAGAGAGGGAAAGTAAGAAACCACCCTCGCGGATGGCCGCACCACACTCCCTTCTCCGTTCTCCTCTTGGGATGTTGGGCACGCACGCACACGTGCCCGGTGTGGTTTTCATGCCGCCGGATCTGGGACTCGAACCGCAGTGAGTCACGTGGGGATGCAGTGCCTTCAGCACCACTCCGCCTGCCGGCCCCAGAGACCACCGCGGTTTCTAACGGGTGCGGTGTCTCCTCTGGGGTGACGAGAAGGCTCTCTAGCCTCTGGTGCAGATGGCGTGTCACCTGTCCAGCTAGAAGCACTGATGCAGTCGGAGCCCCTGGGCTGGGCAGCCTGGAAACATGCTAGATGTGCGTGTGTGCGTGTGTGCGTGTGTGTGCGTGCCTGGGATCCTGATGGGCTGCAGGAGTGGAGGGCGGAACGATGACATGCCCACGCCCTGGGGAGCGTGCTCTCTCTGTCTTGCACACACACAAACTGAAACTAGACCACACTGGCTGTTGTGTGTGTGAGGGCCCCGACCACGCGGCTGCGCACCAGCGAGCCCCACGTCTGGAGGAAGCTCAGTGCACCCTGCGGGCTCGGTCCCGAGTCCCACCTCCCTGGGAGGCAGCGGGCACGTCTCCTCGCTCCGTCAGTCCACGGCAGCCCCCGGGGCCGAGCAAGGTGGGGCTGGGGGCACAGACCCAGCTGGCAGGGCCTGTCCACCTCACGGTTGACCCCGCACGAGGGCCCAGCATGGAAAACGCTTGACACGCACTGGGTGGAGGAAGACGGCTGGACACGGCACGAGGCACCTGGAGGGGCCTGGAGTCCTCCCAGGAGCAGGACAGACGGCCCAGGGGGGTGCAGCCCCCGAAGGCCTAGGTGTCCCCATGCCTCGCGTTCGGGGGTGCCCCGAGTCCTTCACGGTCGTATCAGAGTGGACGAGAGAGGACAGGTGTGTGCATGCACTGTCCTCGTGTGTGTGTGCGCACACGTGTGTGCCCACATGCACGGCCTGCTGGAACGTCCCCGCACCCCGGACGGACCCCCCAGCAGCATCCATGTTCCCTCACCTGGGATGGACAATTGGTGCAGGGGCACGTCCCAGAGCCGCGGGCACAGCTGTGACATCCAGTCCTGGTTCCTGCAGTCCGGGCGCGGGGAGCCGGGGCAGGGGGCGCTCGCCTGGCCGCCCATCACGGTGGCAGGCACCTGCGGGAGGACAGAGGGTCTGCCATTCGCGCGAACACTGCTGCAGGGGGCCTGAGCGGAGGCCGAGCACACGGCTCAGAGCACACGGCTCAGAGCCACGCTCCCGCCTGCCCACCTGCCCAGAGCCGACGCGGCTGACCGGGCGGCCTCCCTCTCGGTCCCCAAGGACGACTGCGGATGCCATCAGCCCTGACACGGCAGAGCTCGCCTGGCCCCATCGGCCTCACCCTGGGGGAGGAGCGGCCGCTCCGAGCAGCCCGGAGCTGAGCCTCTTCTGCTCCCACAGAC